AAACTCAGTGTAAGTACATCTACATCCGATAACACCACTGTGTTGGCGAAACAACATTGTTGGGTTTCAACTCAATTATTGTGAAAATCAGAAAACTACTTAGTTTTATTCAAATTATGAAGTAAAAGAATATTTATTGTCCAGATGTTTCTACACCATTGATGAATATTTGGAATGTGAATATCATACTTATAATTGTAGCCATACTCTATATCAGTAGTTCCCAACGTTTACATAACAAGGAACCATTTCGACTCACTTGACGTTGGTATTTGGTATGAACCTCCAAATGATAAAAAACTGAATATTTCTGACTTTTAATTTCAACTTTGTAATATCACAAGTTACAGTTTTCATAAGAAAGACTAATGTGACATTTGTGCTTTCATGTTCCGCACAGTCTTGGAAATTTTTGTGCTGATACTGGTACTCAAAGCAAAACCGAAAATCACCGTAAGCATTCAGGAGGATTTCGGACTTGGTTTCAAACATTGAAAGAGCAGAAATCACGGTCCTCACATTGGTCGAGTATATAATAATAATAATAATAATAATATAATTTTATTGAGAAACATTCCTTACATAGTAAAATTACATTCATTTCAATTGATAATTACAACTGAGAGAAATGCTCTCAAAAGGACCGAATTCAGTTTGGAGTCTGATCTTCCATTCAGCCTTCGAGCAAAAATATTGGTTCAAACAAAAATCTTGGTTGAATTCATATTTACAATAATATACAATTTTGATTGAAAAGAAGAGAAAATAAAAATGTCCTTAGAGATATTAAACATTTGAGACAATTTCACATGGTGAAGAACATTTGTGTTAAAAAAATATACAAATATATGATACAAAAAATTGATTCATATATTATTGCCTACATCCGAATCATCGAAGTACTATGACACACTATAGTATGCCTTTGTTAAGAGCAGAGATTTAATTCTCCTCTTAAACAAATGAGTTTTCAGTACTTTCAAATTCGATGGTAAATGGTTGAAAATTTTAATGCTCTGACAATAGAAAGAGTGCTCAAATTTAGCTCTTTTATGCATAGAATAAGTAGCACATCCCTGTTTCTTGTTTCTATATTATATAAACATAATTCTCTGGTTCATATTGATGAATACTCATCAAGAACCTGAATTCTTTGTTCGATTTATAATCCCCATGAACCACTATTATATGATGAGCTCACATTGCTCCAGTTCTTTCAGCTTAGCTCAATCATATAGTTTGAGATTGGGGTATATTTGATTTCTACTAATCATGACTTTCACTTTTGACTTTGGTCTCCAGAATATTTAATTTAACGAAATTTATGGAATGCTATATGTTTTCACACTGCAATTAGATATCTCACGTCCATGAAAAAAACGTTTGGCCATCTTTTGAGTTTCCAAAAGTACTAGACACATCACCTCTTTGGTTTTTTTTCCTTGAAAATTATGATTATAATTGAATGAAGAGATTCTTTGACTACCTTATTTTCATCACTACGTAACAGTGATTGAAAACTGTTCAGTCAAAATACTTGATTCAGCAGAGCTCAGAGCCTATTTTCATTCGTCGGGAATCTTCCAGCAACAGGCAAAATGTTGTAGCTAGGTTGCATGTGACAATGACGATACCACATAATGTACCTGAAAATATAGCTTATTAAATTGATGAAGCTTATTAAAAGATGCCATTTGTTGCCTAGGTGAGAGATCAGCTTCAGATATTAAGTAGGTATCTGAATTTTTGCCGTATAATTTATAAATTTCAGTAAAATTTTTCTGTCATCGACGCTATACAAGTTTATAACGGTGAATATCATACCCAATAATGACGATTTCTACCATATTAACACTGTACTAATATTGTTCAGAAATAGGTAGCATGTTGATGCTTTATTGAAATGTCGGGAAACCCTTATACTGATTGAGTAAAGAGGCAATAATAATGATGAATAACACGCACAAAGGTGATAAATAAAACTGCTATCACATAAATTACAACCACAGGAACACCTATGTTTCATTGAAATTGATGGTCTGCGTTGAACAGATATGTTTGAAGAAGGATTTTCGTTTATAGAAAAATGAGTGGGACGCTGTAAGGTCATACATCAGAAAAAAATACTTTCCATTACTAAGCCGACAGATATTAATTTTCTTTTGTTTGCTACCGTATAACACTGCACATGTGAAATCAATCATTTGTTGTACGAAATTGTAAACAACAGATATCGAGTTAAAATACCCCAAATATCCTGAATGACATTGATAGCTTGTGAAAAACGACTGGCAATAACCCGGTTTCACATTGTGCTGATATAGGTACTTGCTTTTAAAGGGCGCGCCAGTCGAAATAATGATAAATGGGTAATATTTCGTTTCACCAAGCACAGAATCCTAAAGAGTTTGAAAATTATTGCGGTCGTGGACTGAATACCGATTAGCAGAAATATTTTCATACTTCAATTGATGACATGTTATATTTTGACTTAGGCAATTATTCAAATTCAATGGACTGAGTAAAAAAAATCATATAACTTCTTGGAATCGGTCAGTTGCGAGGTACACT